TTATTATTAATTATTTGAATAAATAAAAGTGTTTTCCCCCCCAAAATTCATGTAAGCCCTTGTTGCAAAACTAATTGCAGCCTAATTAAAATCTTTAGAGAAAAGTTAAACTTAAAAAAAAAAAAATCTTATTAAGACAGATAAAACCAGGTGTTCTATTAAAAGGTTCCACCTAACCAAGAAAACCTCTCCCTCTTTCATGGTCTCAGTAATGATAGAACAATGGAAATAATGTCACAAAACCTTGGAAAGAAAAAACAAAATGCATATAAAAGAAAAAGCAGATCAGCAAAGCTTTAAATGTTAGTCAGAATACTGAACAAAAGTGATCCAGGAAGTGAAGGAAGGATGGAAATGCAGTCACCTTACATTGGCATCCAGGCCGTCAACTGAGGGTAAGTGAACGTGCAGCAGTTAGCTAAAGAAGTAACAAACCAAAGTGGACAAACTGCTTCCTGTGACACCATACTGCAGAGGAATGGCCCACATGGGTATCGTCCATGAAAGAAGCCTTTCCTAAAGCCCTTGCACAAAAAATGCCCAGGATTTGCCAGAGCTCCCGCTAAAAAGATGAAGAGTATTGTTGCTCTGGAGTGACAAGACATAGATCACAGTTTGAGGAAGTGATGGCTTCAAACCTGTTTGGCATCTCAAAGGTGAGGAATTTATAGAAAAATATGTCGCCTAGAGCAAAACACGGGGATGGCTGTTTCCTCATGTGGTGATGCTGTTGTCAGTGAGCTAATGGCAGAATACACTCCTAGATCTACTGAAAGGTAAGACGCCACCATGGCAGCCTTTGCTCGTCAATATGACAACGATTCTCACCTAAAGCTGCTGTGTCCTTCCTTGAGAAGAATGGGTTGAATGACCAAACTTATCCTGATCTGAACCCTTGAGGGGATTTCTGAAGAGACAAGTAAGCAGCAATCTCCACCCAGCTTCCAGGCTCTAAAAGTAGCTGAACTTGAAGAAGAGACAAAGTTAGTTGTTGTGGAGTGTTTCCAGCTTGTTCTTTCCATGCCTGGAATTTTGTATTTTACTATCCATGTTTCATTATTAACCATGATTTCCTGGTAGGAGTTAGGCGTAGTTTCTCCCTTTTTGGTTTTGTGTTTATTAATAAAATGATAAAAAAAATGTTAATTTTCAATGGGGTTGGCATACTGATTTATGCTGAGCTCTGTATTTACAGGTTGTCAGAATACAGCAGTTTCATCATAACGTATAGCAACATGAAATAATAACAGTTATACTCCAACAATACAGGGTGACAAAACCAGTAAATACTTTAAATGAAAAGGGATCCTGGTTTATTGATTTTTACAGAACGTTTAACACCAGCTCCACTGTTTTAGACTCTTCCAACATTTAATGCAGCCTCCTCTTCAGATCCATCTTTGTTGTCTTTAAACCAAATTTCTATTATTTCACGTCTGAGTTCCTCATTCATAAATGTTGGATAAAATTTGAAAAAAAATCTAGAAGCATTTTCCAAAGCTCTTACTTATTTGAGCAACGTTTTGATTCAGGCAACTTTGCAGCTACCAAAGCTGAACACACATATGTCTTTGCCACTGGTTAATCTGATTGTTTCCCTGTTTCTGTATGCAGTTGTGTCAACAGGCAGCCTAAGCAGTGGGTTCCCCGGTAGAGAAGAGATACCGAGAACAAGACTCAGAACCTTCATGGAGTTATTAGACAGGCAGGTGAGGAACGTTTCTTACATTTATTCATTTGCGTCACAAACAACCATGATCTTATACCTAAACTGCAGCACTGGCTGATAACTCTAGAGTAAATCCTAATTTTACATTGCTGTTTTAATCCATTACTTGGATACCTAAAAAGAAAAAAAAAAATCCACCACATACGTGATTCTGATTTTATTAAACGATAGCTGTATTTGTCATAAAAAAAAAAAAACAGATTAACTGTGATTTATTGATTATTGAAGTAATCATCAAATCCAATAACCCGCTCCCAGAACTCCTTGCTCTCTGTCTGATCCCATGTTTCAGAACTCACGTTTTCATATTCAAAAATACAAATCCTATCATAATCAGTTATTGGTGATAAAACAGCTTCATGGCTTTAAAACAGATTCCTTCCAAGTATTTAAAGGAATCATAAACCTGCTGTTTTTACATGTACAGTTGGCAATATGGACTGAAATAATATATATCCTGTAATGGATAAGAGTGACAGAAAAAAGAAGAAGAAAACTCTACTTCTTTACCATCTTTCTTTATGACTTTATTGCTGTGACGTTCCACAGTAATCAGCCCCATGGTTCACAAATGCTGCTGCTCAATAAAGAAGCATTTAAATAAAGAAGTGGGATTTTTATCACTTAACTACAAGCTGATTGAATGTATCAGGGCTCTATTAGAAAAAAAGTAAAATAAAACTCAAGTTATTACTTTCAGTTTCTAAACATTACTAATTCTAATTTCAAGTTTAGACAATATATTAAAATTGACACCTGGACATGATAAATGCCCACTACTAAAATAATTCCTCTGAATTTCTTTTAAATTTATCTTTTATAATTTTGTGGAGAAAAAATTAAATCAGATGTCATCAAATAATTTGCTTATTGGTACATCAACATTAGCAAGAGAGAAAGTGATTAAAATAGTCCAAATACACTTCTAGTGTTCCAGAAGGTTATTTTAACCCGAACTGGATCTAAATACATTTAATGTTATCAGGTAGTCAATTGAAAGACAGTTAACAGAGACCCATAATGGATGAGGTTGTGTATGAATTAGATGCAGGGAGGATCTATGTTATTGTAACAGTGTAAAAAATACCAAATATTATATTTACATCCCACTTTTTAATTCAGAGGGGATCAGTGGAAGCTTTCCATATGACAAAGGAGTCGCTCCTTTCTCTGCAGAAACGGGCTGCAGTGTTTTGGAGGTGGGAGGGGCTAACTCGCTCACTTTTCGCCAAAGGTGATAGACTCAACTGTTTTCAGGTTGATGCCAAATTCTACAGCAAGAGTGAAAATGGTCACTGGTTTTGTCACTTTTTTTTTTTTTTTTTAGATAAAAAGTCTCTAAACAGGTCTAAAAGGTGTTGACCTGCGTTGACGAGCTGATGTCTTAACGTTACAGGGTTCACATTCTCACAGTGCTTCCCTCATGTTTATGTGCAAATAAGGAGGTAAATGTGTTTAAAAACACATTTTCCATTGGCGGTACACTTATTAAATGTCAGGCAATCGGCGTATTTCCATTTTAATTCTCTGAGTTTCAGCTTAATCAGAGGCTGTGATGAAATTCATTGTAGAGAAAACCCAGATGTTTGTCAAAGGGCCTTAAGGCTAATAAAAAATTAGTGATACTTTCACAAAAATGAGAATAACAACCTGATTTTAAGCTCAACACATTGGCAAGAAAAAAATATTTATAAAAAAAAAAATAGCTGTCAACATAAAAAAGTCAGATATGAGAGCGATGCCTGCTTTAAAGCTGAGATTGATCAGGGATGGTTTCACCTGTTGAGGATGTTCAGATTAAATTTAGCCAATTCATTCCAGCCTGATTGTTGTTAACCCTAAGGAGCTTTTTGCTCCTTGTGATTTCCATTCTCAGTATCCTGTTTGTGTGCTGAAGTTTTTGTGCTTTAGAGGGGTCAAGCTCTTTGACATGGAGAGCAACTTGTTCCAATAATTTTGAAACCAAAGAATATTTTTTTTCACAAAAGAGTTTTTAAAGAATATTCTGGCAAAAATGTATCTTTGAAAACATCTAAAACAGAAAATGTTAAGAGTGTTTTATAATGTGTACCCAAAACTCCAACCCATGTTTCATTTCTTTTATTATACAGTGGTTTTTTTTTCCTGTTTTTCTTCAAATTTTCTTTTAGATAAGTTTTATTTATTTTTTTGATGTGTGGAGTTTTACGGGTTACATTCTTTTCATGTCCCTGTTTTCCAGATTTTACCCTCTAGATTGGTTGGTCTTTGGGCAGACCAACAGAAAGGCTGTTGCTGACGTCCATTCAGAGCATTCTGAAAAACATAAAAATATAATCTGGAAAATACTTTAAAAAATTGGAGCAAACTTTTGGAAAAAAATAATAATAAAAAAAATGGAAATAGAATGTTTAAAAAAAGCCAATTGTAAAAATAATGGTTGAACTTTTCAATACACTTTGAAGATTACTTTCAAAACCTTCCTTTTCTATTTAGATTTTAAGTTCAACTTGTGATTTATTTTGTTTGAATTTCCTTTTTTGAAATTTGGTCTTTGCTCTTAGTAATATTGGAACAAATTTATCTCGATACGACATTAAAAAAATTATCTGAACTGAAGTGCTGGAAGAGACGAAAGATGTTCATGGTCCTTAAATGCCTAAAATCTATAGTTGAAAGAAAATTAACATCTGGACAAGTTAATATAAAAGCAGTTCAATACATTCTGGAAAAAGTAAATTATTTAGTTTCTGTTTCCCTGATTTTATTAACATTGTTTTAGTTTTTCTTTAGGTCTTTCTGATTCAGCTGGTTCTCAGTGGAGAGTGAATGGGAACTCTTTTGTCAACCCCAGTATGCCCAATGACATCAACATGAAAGAGGAACTAGAGGAACTAGAACTACAGGAGACAAGTGTAACCAAAGAGGAACCAGAACGACACAAACAAGAACAGGGCTCTGTGGGGATTCCTGAATATTTGGAAATACTCGACAATGTTCCAGAACTGCAGCAGATGATGGAGACAAAGGAGGAATCAGAACCTTCACGGATTAAAGAAGAACCGGAAGAATCAGAACCTCTACAGATTAAGGAGGAACACAAGGATTTCTTCTTTAATGACGAGCAGGTCATAGTGAAGGAAGAGACTGACTCCTTCGTATTAACCCTAACTGCTGATCAAAAGCACAACGGCGACCTAGAACTAAACGGTTACCAACACCTCTCTGCAGCCTCTTCTGAAGTCCAGAACCAACATGAACAAGGCAGAAACCAGAGAGACTCAAGGTCCATGGAAAGGCTTAAACCATACAAGAGGCATCAGAAGTCTAAGAACCCTAGTGACTGTTTGGACAAAAAGCCTAAAAGAAGGAAAACGAAAATATGCTCCTGTGAAGTGTGTGGTAAATGTTTTAAACAGCACAGGTACCTGAATGCACACATGATGACGCACACAGCTGAGAAGCCTTTCTCTTGTCCCACTTGTGGAAAAAGTTTCCGCAGGCAGCCTGAGCTGACTCAGCACATGCGGACTCACACAGGAGAGAAGCCGTTCCGCTGCCCGATTTGCGGTAAAGGTTTTATCCAGAAAACCACCTTAAATTATCACATGAGAACACACACGGGCGAGAAGCCGTACGGTTGTGGGTTTTGTGGTAAATCTTTCATTCAGAGAAGTGATTTGACCTGCCACCTTCGGATTCACACAGATGAGAAACCATACTGCTGTGAGTTGTGCAGCAAATCTTTCAGACACAGCAGTGATTTGACTCGCCACAGGAGAACACACACAACTGGGAAGCCTTTCTCCTGTCCCACTTGTGGACGCGCCTTCAGCAAACAGTGTAAACTGAGCCGTCATGAGAGAATCCATGATAGTGAGAAGACTTATTCTTGCGAGTCTTGCGATAAATCATTCAGGCGGCGTTCTGATTACGAACGTCACCTGAGAACGCACACAGGTGAGAAGCCTTTTGATTGTGAGTTGTGTGAGAAATCTTTCAGACAAAGGGGTGATTTGACACGTCACATGAGAACCCACACAGGTGAAAAGACATCTGTGTGTAAAGTTTGTGGTAAAAGTTTCAGTAATTCCAGTAGTATGCTCAGACATATGAGAACGCACACCGGGGAGAAGCCTTATATCTGCAAAGTGTGTGGGAAGCTTTTTGGATTCGGTGGTCATTTGACCGTTCACTTGAGGACGCATACTGGTGAGAAACCATGTTCCTGTAAGGTTTGTGGTAGATCTTTTAGTGACAGCAGCAGCATGGCCAGACATATGAGGACCCACACGGGGGAGAAGACATATCCCTGTGAACTGTGTGAGAAATCTTTCAGGCAGAGTTGGGATTTGGCTCGTCATCGTAGAACTCACACAGGTGAGAAACCCTTCCAATGTCTGGCGTGTGGGAAAGGTTTTGTCCAGAAAACAACTCTGAGTTATCATATGAGAACCCACACTGGAGAGAAACCTTTTCCTTGTGAAATATGTGATAAATCTTTCCGACAGAGGAACGATCTGACGCGTCACATGAGAACCCACACTGGTGAGAAACCGTATCGTTGTGAAATGTGTGATAAATCTTTTAGGCAGAGTAATGAGTTAACCCGTCATGTTAAAACTCACACAGGCGAGGATCTAAGTTGTTCGGCCAGTCTTTCAGAGGAAGTTTGACTAATATGTGAAGAATTGATCCCAGTGAGGTTCTGGAACAATATTGTATTTAAAAAAGAAAGCACATTATGGATAGATATCCATATCACAGCTGAGACTACAGCACAACAGTGCTGTTCTGGTAGTTTATAGAGTTTGGTCACAACTCCATTCCACATAAAAGAACAATAGTTGCTTATTGCTGGGTCCCAAAGAAGGCTGATAAAAGTGGAGGGAAGTTTCCATAACATACTGAGAATCAGAAGTGCTGAAGGTGAGCAGACTTTGCAACTAAGCATCGATGAGTGTGGCTTGCTGATTTACAGAGAAAACACAAAAGTTTCAAATAAATTGATATACTGCAAAATATAGCTATATCCATATGAACAATGGAAAATAGAACAGACAGGCCTATGGGAGAACTATCGTGCCATAATGCAAGAGCACATAATTTCAATTTGAGAAAAGAATTTCATCTTCTTGCACTTAAAACTTATAGTGCTCACACTCAAAACCTGCACTCTCTCTCAAATATCTTCTGTTCTCTCTCAAATCTTTGTTTCTTCTCTCAGATTTAATGCTTCTTGCACAGATATTTTCTCCTCTTGCTTGCCCCCTTCTCTTCGCGCACAAACCGCGCTCTGCTCGAGTCTCAGTTACGCTTGCAAACCCGTAGGCTCTGCTTGTGGATTTTTTTTGCTCTCTCTCAGATTGGATCGGATCGTCGCCTAGCAACCTTTCCAGCCAATAGAACGACAGCCTCACAAAGGGTGCGCTTGTCTTACTCTACTGAGTGTGCCTGTGATAAACCTTACCAACAATAAATTGGCTTTTTAATTTATAAGCTATTAAAATAAGAAGCTGAAAAACAACAACAATCAGGAAAATAAAAAAAAGGAAATAATAAAAGGCGATTCAAGAATCACCAATTAAAAGTCACTTAATTTCTGCTGGAGGCAGAATTAGCATCTGCCCTGACTAGCAAACTTTTTTTTTTCTTTTTTTTTTCTGACGAGCAACTCTGAGGCTAGAGTTTTCTGTTCACATCACGTCACGTCTGAAAATGGATAGCTTTTAAATTAAAAAGCCATTTTATTGTCGGTAAGGTAACTACTGAGTAAGGTAACTCAGNAGGAGGCAAGCGAGAGGAGAAAATATCTGTGCAAGAAGCATTAAATCTGAGAGAAGAAACAAAGATTTGAGAGAGAAGAGAAAATATTTTAGAGAAAGCGCATGTTTTGAGTGTGAGCATTATATATTTGAGAGAGAGCGCTTTTTTTGAGTGTGAGCATTATATATTTGAGAGAGAGCGCATGTTTTGAGTGTGAGCATTATACGTTTTGAGTGCAAGAAGATGAAATTCTTTTCTCAAATTGAAATTATGTGCTCTTGCATTATGGCAGGATAATTCTCCCATACAGGCCCTATTATTACATCTAAATGCACATATTTGTTAAATTACATTTCTTTTTAATTTTGAGAAAAACCCATATATGCATATGAGATTGATACTTGTTACTTTCTGTGAAAAGTAACTTTACTTACCCAGCATTTTAGATTTGTCCATTTCCAATGACTCTGTACAAATAAAAAACGTATTTACTTTGTGTATTTTTTTAAAACACACCATATATCCTGCCTGTAATGTACAATAGCACTTGGCAAACCCGTAGCTCACATAAAGAAGAATGAATAAAATATTGGTTTTGTACAAAGCTATGTAATGCCATATACAAGTGTCCTACCAACATGGAGCATTTAAGAGCAGTGGCAGTTCTAGATTATTAAAACAGAATGTAATGCAATTGATATAATGGACAATTGCTCCTGCAGCCAACTGCAGCCCTGAACAGTACATGAGCAGTGGAAAATCAATGGATAGATTAAAACAAGTGATAATATTTTATGTTTTATCTGAAAAGCCGGAATCTGTGAGCCAGATGCAATCATCAAAAGAGCCACACCTGGCTCGCAAGCCATAGTTTCCTGACCCCGGGTGTTACGAGCTTCATCAAATGTCTGAGTCAAAACGGCACTCACACCAGCAGCCAGTCTCAGGATGACCCCCTGTGTGACCATATGTGGGGTCCATATATGAGCATTTCTTTTGAGAACCAGAATCTGTTCCTAGACTGAGGTGAGGCCACAGTGTGATATCTGGCCCTAAAATAGTTCCCTGATGCTCCACCTGATGGTCACTGGGATTTCGTTTCTACTGTCTTCAAGATATGACAGATGATTAGAAACCCAGATTACCATGAAGTTACCTGAAATCAGGAAAGGTTGATAGATTTAAATCTAAATTATTTTACGTTTCTTTCCCAATTTTGAAAGGTTTGACTCAATGTTTACTTTGTTTATTTGGATTTCTGGAATCTTCTTGGACTCTGGTGTCATAGAAATATCTGCTCCTTCATTCAATGTATGTTTACAGCTCAGACTTGATGTGCTCACTTTGTTTCAGTTGTGGTTGTTTTAAAGTGCTTTAGAAATAAAGCTTGTATTGTTTGCTACTGTGTTAAATGTGTACGGTAATAAAATATAAGATTCTGAGAGTAAAAATCTTTTTTTTTTTTTTGTTCTTTCTTTTTATGAAGTTTACATTTCAGGCAGAGACTAAAGATTTTATAAACAATGCCATTCCATATCGGCACCAATTACAATGCCAACAAAATATTATGACAGAGATGGAGCTCTGCTGCTCAAAACATTTTAGGATCTGGGAATCAACCTGATGCCTGACTAGGATTGAACATGTATACATTAACAAAACCCCGAAGAGACCTTTTGTCTTGCATCTGTCCAAACTCAGCTGGAACTGTCTCAGATCCACAGGGAGCTGATAGGCATCTAAATCTAAACTCTAAATTACAAGATTATTCTATATGATTCCAGGGAGGATTGAAATTATTTGAAAATGTTAATGATGTATATTTGTGTGACTGCTTCGACCTTCAATCGGTGACTGATGGACACTAGACATTCTGCAAGGCTAGGGTGGATGGATGTTATTTCTGCAATTAAATGTGAATATAAATGTTATGCTTAGAGCCCCAATGTTGTTTCTTCAATTTTTATTCTCGGTCAGAATGGGGAGTTTGTATTAAAAATATTAACATTTTTATAAGTCCTCCTCACTTCTAATAGAAATTAATAATCCCAAAAGTGATTTGGAAAAACATTTTAATCCGTACATGGCAGTAGCTAAGTAATGATTATAATGTTTCGTCTCTATGGTTATATAATTCTCCTCAAGACCCTCACGTCTTTTTGATAAAATGCCTCGTTTTTAGTGTTTGGTACAACAGGAAAACCCTACCTGTCTCATTCTAAACAGGCTGTTTTAAGGAGGAGGATGCCCTGAACAAGATGGCGGCTGAATTAACGCATCCCTCCAATAACATCCCTTCCGCTAGGGACTTTCGGTGCATTAGAATGCAGCGCCTGATTTCCCATGGGGAGGAGCGATTTTTCAGATACCCCGGATGATGTGACAATCCGCTGGCGGGAGTCGCTTGGTTTGTTATTGTTCTGACCCAGGTGTCCTAGTTTAGTTTAGAGATTACCGGTGTTTGATCCAGTCTGAGTCTCCACAGCAACAATGAGTTCAGTTCAGCCTCTGAGAGAGTTTATCAGACAGAGACTAACTGCTGCTGCTGAAGAAATCTTCGCAGAGGTGGAAAAAACCATCATCCAGTACCAAGAGGAGATCGACCGTCAGAGACTGCTGGACATCAGCTGGAGACCCCGGATCAGCTCACAGAGAGCAGGTTCGGTTCTACTGGGAAGGCATTCAGGGACGGGTTGGTGGAGCCTGTTTGCTGCTCAAAATCTTTATTTCTAAAACTATTAATGACTTCATGGTGGCAGAGCGGGATTATTCTGATTATTGACAGTCAGATCCAGATCATTATGAACTAATAAAACAAAACAGTTTTCAGTGCAGCAGCCAGCTTCCGTTTTTCTTTTTAATTTGTGTTGCTTCCCGGAAGTCTGTCTCCTTATTTTCATACATTACATCTCCTTTCTTTATTTACACATTAGACATGAATAAAAATGTTTAAAATAAGAACCCCTGTAGACATTGGTGTGTGAGATGCCAACATATAAACAGCATTTTCAAAAGTATGAGAAACAAAATTCAAAATACAACCTCTATAAGCTAATATTGAACATGATTAGTATTACATAAATGGTGTGTTTTTGAGGGATGCAGAATGAAAGTTTGAATATATCATATAAATATATTTTTAACTTTGATGGGTCAAAATACATAAATATTTTCTTCTGGTTTTAATGGCAGAGCAATTATTCTGGAACTGCAGGTTGAAGATTTGCAAGTCAGAGCTCAGATGTTGCTGGATCCAAGTAGCTCTGGATGTATCTGAGGAGTTTCCTTTATTCAGGGTCTGCCAGGATAAAAAAAAACATACTAAAAAGAAGCTAAATGAGGGAGAACTTCAGTCAAGCTTTAGACTTCAGAGACCAAATGAAGCAAAGAGGCTCAGAGTAACGCAGAGGTAGAGCACAGCTCTCTGTGTTATGGTGGAGGTGTCATCCTGTTCAATCAGAACCTTGGATCAGGAAGCTAAAGATTCTGAGCCTCATCTTAATGAATAAAGCTCTACATCAGATCTGGACCTGATCTTAACAACTCTAACACTAACAGCAGGTATGTTCAGGTTGTCAGGGGTTTTATTCTGTAAAAACAAATAATCCAGAAATCTAAGATTAACATAATGTGTCTTTATTATTGATTCCATATTACCAGATTAGTCTTGTATCCGATCACAGAGTTTGAGTATCGATACTTTTGATAAAGCTGCTTCAGCAACACAAAATAATTCAGATCATGATGGACAAATTTCAGTTCTCATCCATTGGTTCTCTTCTGTCATGCTGTCCAGATGTCCCACAGAGTTATGTCTCTGGCGGGACTGACCGAGCAGAACCAGAACCTCAGAAGGCGAAGGTGGAGCTGAATGAACCAGAACCTTTGGTAATCAAGGAAGAATGGGAGGAACCAGAACCTCTTCAGCTGGAGGAAGAAAGCAGAGAAGGTGTCCATCAGGATGAAGCTCAGCTGAATCCTGTTAATGACGAGATGGGCCACAGTGAACCAGAACCAAACAAGGATCAGCTCCTGTTCCAGAACTCTGCTGAAGGTGGGAACATCGATCAGGAGAGAATCTGAGAACATCTGAAGCTCCTTTAACTAAAGGCTTCAAGGTGCATCAGCTAACATGTGTTAGGTTAAATCTGCAGCTTAAAGCGCAGCTGGAGAAAAGCTGCTTTAAAAACAACAATGAGAGACAACAGTCTGGATGAAAGAGGTTGGATAAGTTAAAAGAACTAGAATTAGCTAAAGAATATGTTAAAATGTGAAAGGAAGTAATCTGAAAATATAAATGATGAAAAACAATAATTTTAAAAATTAAACGAGATTAAATAAATGATAGAAGAATTGAAGAAATAAAACTTAACAACAAAAGTGAACCTTTTAGTGGGAAAAAAGTATTCCACTATTCATTTCAGTTAATTAAACGAAGATCAATAGATTTCACTCAGTTGGCACATTATTTTTATATCTTTGCAAAGAGAGAACAGTTCATAATACAGCCCTTACTGCTTGGTATTCAGCCCTGTTCTGATCTGGACAGTCTGTGTTCCCCTTACTTCCAATAATGGAAAGTAGTCAGATTCAAAACAAATTACAGACACTTTGGTAAACAGTAACATGTTATGAATAAACCTTAAGAAAGAATCTGACTTGTTTTGGGAAGACACTATGTCTAGTCTACAAACACCCTCACGCAGGGGAATTGTGCGACCTTGCAGGTGAAACAGACTGAGTAAAAAAACTTTTGTAGTGAGTAAATGGGATAAATTAATATATAAAATATGAATAATATGAATAAGAGGAACTAAATTTTCCGATCAAAACCTTTAACTGTGGGAGATAAAGGCTGTGTCTGAACATATGCCCTAATCCCTATATATGGCACTTTATAGTGATTACACCACTTTAGATGAGTGTCCGAATGTTTAGTGGATGAAATTTTCCACAATGCACCTTGAAAAGTAGTGAGCATCCATGGTCACTAGACGAGCAGATATATCCTGGAATGCTTTGCAAGAGCTCTAATTGCAAAGCATTGTGGGATTTGTTTTGACAGCGGGAAAGAGCAAAGCGAAAAGTAGGGATCATCTGTCCTAACGGTCAGTTAATTGAGTTCACTATATTGTTCACTACACAGTCCCTGCTCTATAAAGTTATTAAGGGGTTAGAACAGATGCTCGGCCACAGCCAAAGACTGACAGCTCTACAGAGAAGAAAAAGAGGAA